TTCCGTAACATAATTCCTAATGGAGTATTGTTAAAGTGATCCGTAACAATTACATAATTTCTACTGGACTATTATTAAAGTAAACCGTAACTATTACATAATTCCTAATGGACTATTATTGAAGAACCGTCCGTATGATCTGTAGTTAAATAAAATAAGCAAGGTTCACACTGTTCCTCCTGGATGTTTAATTAAATGTTCACACAATGGATAGCATGGTTTTGTTATTTTTGAAATACTGAATTAATCATCGCACATAAATCGATATAAAGACTGTTGGACCAGTTAAACGACAGGGTTAAGTTTCTAAATGACCTGGATTGTGTTGAGGTCCTTTGGGCTTTGTACCCAAGCCAGTAACCTTCACCCTATGTTCTAGGTTCTGATTTGGAATATTTTCATTTCCGAACTGTGCTTAAATGCTGGGGTGTGTTTGAATAAGTTAATTCCTCAAGCTATTACACCTTTGTACAATTGTCGTCAGATGGAATTTCTGATGATAGCTGTTTACAATTTCGTTCTGTCAGATGGGTGACAGGGTTCTGATCGTAAGTGTTTTCAAACGTCGGCGACCGCTAGCGCTCTGGTGTTGGTGGGGGGGCATTTGATTACAATGTAGTTCTATCAGATGAGTGGCCGGGTTCAGGTCGTGTCTGTTTATAGCGGTGGGTGGCAGCTTTCACTCCGCAACGTAAGATCATGGTATGTTGGTTCTCTGGTGACCCAACTGCTTAAACCTGCAGCCTCTACCAGGAAAAGGGGTGTGGGACGTTGATCTGATCTGAAGATAGCTTTTATGCATTTTACGTAAAATCAAGGGCCATATTCAACTGGTTATGTTGAAAAGAAAAAGACGGCTTTGTCCAGTAAAAGCAACCTTTCTGAAAGGTCCAAGAGACATTCATAATATTAAAATTTTCCCAAATCTTCGTGGGGTTGAACGCTTTTTACTAAAGTTGGAGCAACATGTGGCAACCTCTTCCTCAAAAGCAGGCATAGAGTTCACCATGGATACACAAACTGGAGATAGCATACAAGTAAACATGTAACTGCCCGCCCTACATTTCAACATAACCATCATCATAACTCTCAAAAAAATCATACATATTCATCAAAACCTGGCCCTTTCTTCGATTCTAGAACCAATGGGAAAGGGATAGAAAAACTATAAATAAGTTTTGCACTACTGTATAATCGTAACCAGTGTAGGAATAATTGGTGAGCTGTGTCTGTATAAAACACATCGACAACATGTCATTATTCTTATAAACGATAATGATTACTTTAATCTCACAGTCATTAATATACCACTTTACAAAGAAGATTTCAAAATGTGTTAATGTTCCAGTGAAATCGATAAAAAGTCCTGTTAGATTAGATAAAATGTTGTAATTTATTATTTGCCAATATCATCGACTGACGCGTATCTGGCGGAATAGGGCGAATGGTATACCTGCAATGCTCCTGCTTTTCCATTTGGCGTCAGGCTTTTTTATTTTCTGAATCTGAATCTGAATGAATAGTCATAGATGCCAATTACTGGCTTTTACACGACGGATGGAGTGCGCTAGTTAATGTTGTCTAGTTTAGATTTGAATAATTCGATTGACTGTTCACTGTATCATCACTGAGTTTATTCCAGTCGTATACAGTTCCTGCAAATTATGAGTATTTGAATATGTCACTTTTAGCACTAATTGGCTGGGGACTATTAAAATGGGTTCGTCCGTCTGTCTGTCTGTCCGTCTGTCTGTCTGTCTGTCCGTCTGTCCGTCTGTCTGTCTGTCTGTCCGTCACACTTTTTTAGCTAGAATCTTCAAACTTGGTGTAGGTATTTATTAGGTCAATGCCTTGGTGGAGTTTAAAGATGAACATTTTCTGCTTAGGGTAAGCAGAGATAAGCAATTTGATTGGTTGATGCTTTTGGACACGATAACTTTAGTTCTAATTAAGTGAGAGTGATGAAACTTGGTGTATAGTTTCATTACATCAATACCTTGACTAAGTTTGATAATGAGCATTTTCTGCTCAGGGTAAACAGAGCGATAAGCAATTTGATCGAGACTTTGGAACACAATAACTCTCATTCTAATTGAGTTAGAATGTTCACACTTGGCATAGGTGCCTATTAGGTGAATGCCTTGATGGAGTTCGAAGATGAGAATTGGGGTAAGCAGAGATAAGCAATTTGATTGGTTGATATACATGAGCACAACAACTTTAGTTCTAATTAAGTGAGAGTGATGACACTTGGTGCATAGCTTTATTACATCAATACCTTGACTGAATTCGATTATGAATATTTTCAGCTGAGGGTAAGCAGAGCGATAGACAATTTGATTGGTCGAGACTTTGGAACAAAATAACTCTCCTTCTAAATGAGGTAGTTTAAACTTGGTGTAAGTGTTCATTAGGTGAATGCCTTGATGGAGTTCTATGATGAAGATTATCTGCTTACGGTAAGCAGAAATAAGCAATCTGATTGGTTGATGCTTTGAGGCACGATAACTTTAGTTATAATGAAGTGAGAGCAATGGAACTCCGAATAAAGATTCATTATATCATTACCATGACTGATTTCGATGGTGAGAATTTTCTGCTTAGGCTAATGAGCTATAAGCAATTTGATTGGTCAAGACTTTGGAACATAACAACTCTGCTTTTAATTGAGGTAGAATGTTTAGACTTGATGTAGATGTTCATTAGGTGATTAACCTTCAATGATTAACCGGCATTTGCCCTATCGCTCTACCAAGGGTTTCTCCCCCTTCTGAAGCTGGCCTTGGGGCGCCCGCGCTAGACTTTCGCGGGCACACCGCCCCAGTTAAATTCAGGCCTTATGATACAACAGGGTCGCCTGTCCAACGTCGTGGGTTTTCTCCGGGTCCTCCGGTTCCCCCCACTACTAAAGACCCCTACGCGCAAGCGAATTATGTAAATAAAATTTAACCATATGTTAGTCCCGAAATGACCCAGTTTGTGTCGTATGGACGTTAAACCCCATTTCTCTCTCTATCTCTGCAGGAACTGGCACCAAGCGATACTCGTCTTCTTGTTCTTGGAGGTGACTCTCTTCGATAAAGGCGAAGGCTATGTCAGTTCAAACAGGATCGACACGAAATCATTTTTTTGGCATGCTTGTTGCTTCGACAGTTCCGCTGCTTCGAATCCAAGTTGGCGATAATGACGACAAGTTAGACGTATCGTCCGTACCTGTTATTGTGAAATTTCTTAAACGTTAACTTTGCCAATTACATCTATATTTGTTCTAATTGAAATATGTCTATGTCTATTGCATATATCATAAAAATTAAGATAATGGTGTCTACTATTCACTTTGAAATTACAAAGTCTGCAACAGTCTGTTTACATAAAACAAATGACCAATATTTAATCATTGATTATAGTTTATTTATTGAAGCTCATTGTACACTAGTATATGTACATACATAAACAGCATTAGACACCGACATACAATATTACATGTACGTATATATACAAGTTCACGCATGCTGTATTTTGAATATAAATTCGTTTATCTTCGGGTACCATATCATTGACTTATTCCGTTATGTGCAAACTTTATTTCATTTTAAATTATCACTTTTAAGTGCTCTAGACGAAATTATAGAGACAAATAAGGATTCGAGGGTGAGAAAGCGAGATTCAAATACACAAAAACAATTGTTATAATACATGAAATAAATTAAAAATGGAAAAATTGAAATACAAGATTATTACACTAGTGCTCACTCTAATCTAATTCATATTCTGAAAATAACTTTATTTTTAGTTATGTATTTATGAAAGATGAGAATAAATAATATATAGCCAACTGGTATAATATCATTATCAACATATCTTGGATCTCAATTCGTATCATGTGACAATAATATTACATGTAAGTATATATTTATACTGAAGCGTAAGAATACACTATAATAAAAGTTTTGTAAAATTATGGAATAAAAAAAAAGGTTTACAGCGTAATTTAATAGCATATTATGTATTTATAGCTTGAAATGCAAATAGTTTCTATTTGAGTTTCATTTTAAAACTCTTATATTATTTGATAAAACGAATACTTCAACAAGAATTAAATTCTTTTTTAAGATCACATTTTATTGTTTTTTCCAAGAAATTAAATATACACTGAAAAAAAACTTGTGTTGGATCTCAACACAAGTACTTGTGTGGAAATTATTCTACACAAGTTATGTGTTGTTTGGCATTGCATAAACACAAACTTGTGTTCTTTTTAATGCATTAACACAAATCTTGTGTTTTTTCCATATAATTAACACAAGTAATGTGTACCGTCAACAAATATTTTTTTTTTTAAATTTGAACTTCATACAAAGTCTTAATCCGGGGGTCCACAAGTAAGAGAAAAGTATTTTTTACTCAGACAATATAGCCAGACAGACTTGAATGCTAATTGGTGTTAAGATGTCTGTAGTTAAAATAAAGTTGGGCCCAATAAACTGGTAGATCAAAGGCCTGTTGAGCGCTCATGCCCGGTGTGATTTTAACAATTGACTCCAAATGCGTTGACAAGAAAATAAGTGAATGTGATTGGTTGATAAAATCAACGTACTATAGGCTACATTTTGTCTGCGATATCATCTCGGTGGAAGCGGACATTAAATGAAGTGATTTCACACAATTAATTTAACATTTAACAACGTGCTGAAATGATTTTGGAGCAGTGATATGTTTGACAAATGTAAGTTAATGGTCAGATAGAATACAAGGCCGCAGGTTTGTGAATATTTATATAAAAAAAATAATACCATGTATGTAATTTAGCATCGATATTGTTTCTCTGTATAATATTAGTATTTCGTTTCCTTAAAAAAAACTCCAACAATTTAAACCGGAACTTCATGTTTATAATATGGCGCGGTCAGGAAAAAAAATTCGGCATGTTATTATCAAATTTGTTCAATTTTTCTGAAATCATGTTTCATTAACATTAGTTGTTCGGTGCTACGATGTTTTTCAAATACTTACATTACAGAATCACATTATGATTAAAGCAGAAACGGCTCGACTTGAACCAGCAGGTAAGAATCTGTTTTGAAATTATATCTTGGGAGGTTGGATTGGTGTTGGAGACCCGATTGGCGGCCATTTTGATTCTTGTTTCAGGATTTTTTTTTATATTATAACAATTTTGCCAAGAGTAGACATAAACGCGGGCACAGACTAGGAAAAATCTTTTTACACTTTTGTGTTAGTTGAATTGTAATCTAATTTATGTTTTAAAAAAACAACCTTAAATCTAATAAGCAGACGGAAGATATGGACGAACAACAAGAAGAAGTTATGGAGGTCCCAACAACTGAACCTATGGAAGTAGAAGAATCGTTTACAGCCGAAACCCGATACGATGTGCCAGTTCCGGTCATGGAGTCCTCCATCTCAGACGATGCCGACGTTAGTGTCTTCTGCGACGAAGAACCCGTAGTGGTGTATACGCAGGTAGAAGCTGGTACCTCCCGTGGCAAGTCCAAGTTGTTTGACAACCAAGGGTTTAGTTATACAATTAAGGTAGGGTGATTTATTTTACCTAGTTAACTACCTTGTATAGAAATGTATTTCAGCTACAAAATGTAAAGATAATTAACTCTAGTTAACCTAGTTAACTCTATAATAATAAATGAATTTAATATATTTTAGACAGAGAAGAAAACTACGATTTGGAGGTGTTCCAAAAGAAGCGGACCAACACGATGTCCGGCAACAGTAATCCAAGATGGTGATACATACCAACCAGGCTTAAAGAACCATCTTCACCCAGCAGAACCCGGTATACAGACGACTACCAAGATAAAAGTTACAGTAGGTTTAAAAATTATATATCAATTAAATTAAAAATTTATATATGTGTGTAAATAAATAAAATATAAATAAACCAATAATATATTTGTAGTTTAATATGTTTTATCTTATCATTACAGGCAAAGCATGAAGCCAAAGGAAATGTTTTTACCAAGTCATGTTCCTCAATAGCGGAGAGAGTTTTATCCAGTGTCGGTTCTGCAGAAGAACCCATTCATAGCAGACCACCCATGGCAGCACTTGTAAGGTCGCTACAAAGAACCTGACAGACTCTGCGACCAAAAGATCCCACTGACGTGTCGTCAAGCGTAAGTACTCATGCAATTAAATACCCATGTATATAAGAATTTATTAACATGTAATTAAATGTACAATTTTATTTATTTATTAACATGTAGTTAAATGTACTTTTTTATTTATTTTTTGTTTTAGCTTGACGAAGATTTCATCGATCATAGTGCACCGGGATTTTATCAAAAAAGAGTAAAAGTTGGGGAAAGGCGCCATAACATTTTTTGTACTGATAGACAGATGCAACTACTCGCACGCGCAAAAACTTGGTATATGGATGCAACTTTTCGGGTGGTGAACAAGCCATGGTCTCAGCTGTTTTCCATCCACGCCTTCATTAAGACTGGAGAGACCACCCGACAGTTACCATTGGTGTTTTGTGTAATGTCGGGTAAAAGCCAAGACGACTATTATAAGGTAAATAGCACTTACTGATTGAATTACTATTAATAGTAAAAAAGGACTATTATTTGGGACCTTGAAATTGTCACAAATGGGTCGCACTAACAGCGACATTTGTTTCAGGCATATTTGTTTCATCGGTGACACGTCTGGTGTCATGTGAATGCAACGACAACAGCCTGGTTGATTGATTTGTTGATTGGAGTTCAGATGTCTACATTAAAATCGACCACTTTCAGGTTGCCGTATTCACGGCCAGGCAAGACCGACTTGAAATTTCTAGAAATTTTTCTGGGGGAGACAGGCCCCAACAAATCCCCAGACGGTGCGTTTCACGACTTTGGCGCAAGACGGTGACCTTGAAGAGACGTGGAAAACCATTTAATAGACATAGTAAAAGTCATATCTTACGAGATTATCGCTGGTCTTGTCAGAAAATGCTATTTTATATATGACCAGTTTGTGTTTGAAAAATTTAAAAAGAAATTATTTATTCTCCCACCATTAAAGCACACTAATTACGAAATATCGCTCTCAGAAACTTCATGGTTTCTTTTGCAATTTGTTTGGGGTAAGACGTTATATAAATAATATCAATGTCTACCACAAAAATTTAACAGATACAAATGCATATTATTCCACAGGTAGACAGACAGGGCCTCCTTTGAAGGGACTCAGTGAAGGGAACGCGGTTGGTTTAGAGTTTGTCTGACCCCTTTGAATATTTGCGTCTCATCTCCAATGAAAACAATCATGTTGCTCTCATGCTGTTCTCAACCAGAATCAAACATATATCGTACCCGAGATTTGTTAGCATGTTCCACACAACCCAACATTTATCGGCACCGGGATTAAGGGTGTATATCTTTGTTTCTAACGCTTATTGGGAATACGCCACGGAAACTACAATAAAAACTTATTTACAAAAACATTCTAAAGAGTGAAAACTGACATATTTCAAGCTTTACTGTATTTAAAGAAATAATTTAAATCAGCCGGCTGAAACCCCGTCTCCGCTATTTGTTCAGTCATTCTTTAGGTATAGTGCCAGTTTCCACCGACAATGATATTGCAAACAAGTGTCCAATCTATAAAAGCATACATTCCTACAAAATGTTTCTTTAGTCAAGTGAAACAATAAATTCATAACTATGCGAGGGTGTGGTGAGTAAATTCGTGGTAACAAGTCTGAAAAGGCTAATGTGACATAGAACAAGGTCACCTTGATGTTGACAAATACGTAAGACGATATGAACATCAACTAAAAAGATATGTAATGTGATTCAGCTACAAGGTGATATATGCATATATGCAGCATAGATAATTAAAACTTCTATTCAAGTTAAACCAACTGTATCTATTTATTTAAGTCTTACGTCGAGCTGAATACATTTTATGATTTATTGTCATCTATTGGTGGTTAACAGTGTGTAACTAAAAACTAAAATTGGATCTTATTATTGCCAATGATACAATGTACATGTAATAGCAAGTGTATATATATTTTTTGTTCAGTCTGTACACAGTAACATATCTGAGAACCATATTATTATCATTTCTGCCCAAGGCTCCCTGTGCCTTATAGTTAGCAGTGATACAAGGCAATTACCAATTTTCCATGTTCTTGGCCTGAAGAAATAAAATAATAAAAGTCAAGTTTTTATTATTATGCAAGTGGAAAAATACAATTATTCATAGTATGATTTGAATAAATACAACTGATTTGAAGTTGGAATTATTATTTGTCTAAGATGACTGGGCATTTACAAATTGAAATAGCTATATCAAGAAAATACATGAATAGTTTTCCCAATTCACCTGGATTTTATTGTAGGTCTTTGTACGTGAAATAGCTTTATTTAACGTCCGCTACCACCGAAGTGATATTGCAGAAAATTAACAAATTCGGATTCCCTTTTAAAGGAAATTGACTGCACTATCGCTGGATTGTATTATATAGGTCATGTCAGTTTTTTTCAAAATGGCGCCCAGAACACAAAACAAACATTGCAATTCAAGGCGGACTGGTGTCGAGGCTGTATCCTAAGAATGATTTTTTGAATATTTAATCACACAGAAACACAAGTATGCACATGCAGTTATGATATAATATTAAATTAGCTTACCTCAAATACCTCGAAATATACTGTTTGGTCAGTTTGTCCGCCCGCCATATTTCTATTAGTCACACATCCTTCGGCCAATTAAAATGGACGTATATTTTGTTTTAACCGAAACGAAAAATTTGCGTTATAAATAGTAAACGAGCTTGATTGACCGACCACTGCTAATGATTTTTCGTGAAACGGTATAACTGCAATCAACACACGGCCGCCATTCTCGATGATTGACAACTCACGTTTTTCCTCATCCACCAAAGAACCGTTAGGTTTCTTTGAACATACTGTAATAACATTGGGATTATCAGTTAATCAGCTTTAATTATCCCGCTTTGTTCGTTGCCATTTCTTATATTTTCCACAAAAAAACTTTGCCTTGTACGCACTAATTTATCAATTGGTATTGCCATCTACGACAAGCATGTCAACGTGCAGCTCACGGATTATCGTTAACAATTTCTAGGGGCTTGTAAAAAAAGATTGCATGTCGTGTAAATATTTATTTTGTTTTTTTTGTAGGTCATTTTCAAATAAATTCATCAGCATATTATTCGTTTTAAATAAATATAAAACTTTTATGAGAAACGATGATTATCAAAGAACCGTAAGTGCAACTAATGTTTTATCGTTTGGTTGAGCCTTTTACTAACCACGTGTTTCATGTTAATAAATATTTTCTTTCGTGTTTTGAATTGGCCTATTTCTAATAAATTATCCCGAGTCACAAACGTCGTTAACCCGAGTCCCAAACGACGTATACCAAAGTCCCAAACGTCGTATACCCGAGTCCCAAATGACATGTAATCCGTTGTTCAACCTCTGTGAGTCTGTGTAATATTTAATATTAGGCCCCATTTTTGCCTGATTCAGTCACAGTTAATAAATAATGGAACTAGAATCAGCCTGTGGAAGTTTCTCTATAGTTTTATTATTTTTTCCAGTCAGTGATGATATGTGACTCTTTCCACCTTCCAGCAATAATTATTGAGAATTTACCAAGGACTCCATTGGCATTGAATCGAAGAAAAACAGGTAAAATTTTCAATTAATTTTTATATTTTCTATTTTTTTTTTACCAATGTCCTACAATGATTAGTGTATGTGAACATACAATCCAAAATAAAGTATTTATATGGCACTTACATGCAACAGAGAGAGAGAGAGAGAGAGAGAGAGAGAGAGAGAGATGACATAAACAAGGCCTTACATGTACTTGTATTTGAAGAATCAAGTAGTCCATGCTGTGCCTATATGCATACCGGTAATCAATTACGACGAGGATTAGCCTACTTCCATTTCCACCCTTTCCCTGCACACTGTCTCATTCTACATGTATTAAAAATTGGTATGTTACTGTAATATTAATTATGCACGAACCTACATGTAGAGTTGTTGCAAGATGGGTCCTTATATCTACTTAGCCTACAGACGCTAGGTCGTTTCGGGAAAAAGGACAGGTAAGGTTAAATTTAATATGAATAATTCCCTTGCGGGTATGGGTATTTAGCGAAAGGAGGAAACAAAAGGACCCAGAGATTAGAGAAGGTATGCTTCAATTTAATATGAATAATTCGCTTGGCGTAGGGGTACATGTATTTAGAAAACGGAGGAAACCGAATGACCCAGCGAAAAAACTCAAGAGATTGGACAGGCGACTCTACTCCTTGAAATTGAAACCCATGCCACTTAACACAATGACAGACCCTGTGATTTCATGCGCATGCATTACCTACTAGACCATTCCCCCCAGCCCCACCCCATATCGAATAAAAGTATGACTTATTTCAAATATGATATTTACATATAAAGAAAGTAGAGAGACTTCAATCTTACTAGAAAAATACTAGATTACCTGAAATGAAATGGGGTTTAAAGACGTCCTACTGGTCAGCTCCGACTGGTCTAATGCATTGTGCTAAGTGAAAATGTTTGTCTGGGCAGCGACACTATGGCCTACTCTCATACCGAATTCAAACTACTACTTGTTAGTTGTGTTTTACGTCCGCTTCCACCGAGGTGATATCGCAGACAATTACATGTTATGTGTTCAAGGTGCATTAATTTACAATGTGGTTAGTGAGAAATATTAGGATGGTTAGGTTTTCATATATATGTACACAGGACAATAAACAACAGTAGGATAACATGTGCAAAGGACGAAACAGGTGTTAGTAGACATTTACAAGCATGCGATTTGACGCAACAGACATGGACAAAGACGGACATTTTCACAGACAAAGACATAATATGTACATATATATATATTTTGGGTCGTTTGTGTTGGTCTGGTCGTTTTGTCCGGTAGAATGGCAGGGCGGTGCAACTCTACCTTGGGGCTTTGTTGGTGAGTATGAGTCCTGGTCCATTCTTCCTTCCATTTGGGTATGTTGTCCGGTATGGTGGCGTTGTTACATCTTTATTTCTGTTATTCATTCCTTTTATTGTTGGTTCTCTGAAGGAAGAATCCAGCACCTGAAAAAGAAAGCTAGAGAAGAGAGAGTATTTGATCTTACTTTGATTTTATGGTTATTTCGTCTAGTAAGGTTTCGTGGGGGGGGGGGCGGGGAATCATTTTAAACTAATAATAAAAATAATAAGTGAGAGTAAAAGAAAATAGAGTGTTAACTGAATTGCAGATAAATAATAAGAATAATAAATAGATATTAATGGTAATAATGAGAATAATAAATTGCTCATGAATTATGTTAATGGTAGATTAGTGGTTTTATTATAAATGTAGGGAGGTTTACGCTTCCTTCTAGAGGACATTTTTGCGCTCCATCCTACTGTTGATTAATTGGTTTTATTAGTTGGTAGATTAATGGTTTTATTATAGATGTAGGGAGGTTTACGCTTCCTTCTAGAGGACATTTTTGCGCTCCACCCTACTGTTAATTGATTGGTTTTATTAGTTGGTAGATTAGTGGTTGTATTATGGATGTAGGGAGGTTTACGCTTCCTTCTAGAGGACATTTTTGCGCTCCACCCTACTGTTAATTGATTGGTTTTAGTTGGTTTATTAATTTTATCGGAGTTATATTAGTTGTGTAAGGCGGTTTACGCTTCCTTCTAGAGGACATTTTTGCGCTCCATCCTACTGTTAGTTGGTTTTATTAGTTGATTTATTAATTATATCGGAGTTATATTAGTTGTGTAGGGCGGTTTACGCTTCCTTCTAGAGGACATTTTTGCGCTCCACCCTACTGTTAAATGTTTAAATTCATTATTTTATATATATCGGAGTTATATTAGTTATGTAGGGCGGTTTACGCTTCCTTCTAGAGGACATTTTTGCGCTCCACCCTACTGTTAACTGATTAAATTCAGTATCTTATATATATCGGAGTTATATTAGTTGTGTGGGGCGGTTTACGCTTCCTTCTAGAGGACATTTTTGCGCTCCACCCTACTCTTTAATTGATTACATTCATTATTTTATATATTTGGTCATCCCTATGTTCTCAATAAAATCCCAGACAAGCTGTGATGTCCAGTGTCTATCGTCGGGTTGTGGAGAGAGGAGTGTTTTGAGACAGAGGATGTTTCCCCTCTCTGCTAGATTCTTAATTACAGATTGACGTTCTTTGTTCAATTGATTGCAGTCAATTAGCAGGTGAGACGTGGTCGCGATTTGTCCACATGGGCATTTGATTGGATTGAAGGTGAAGTCTTTTATTACGTTTATCGTTTTAAGCCTCGTGATGAGTTTGCATATTTTGATTGATGGATGATTGGTGTAAACCTTGTCTACAAGATTGCTATCAATTTGATAGCGATGAGTATTCTCTTGTTTTAGACGGGTTTTCCAAGCATTTTTAATTTTATCTTTGGCTATGCTTGTGAATTCTTGGCTGCTGTATTCTAAATTTTCTATATCCGTTAATGCCAACCCTTCCCGAATTCAAACTGCCAAGAGGACTTTTATGTGTACGCCAATGTGTACATTGGATCTCGGGGGAAACCACTCTGCAAAATCAAGATGAGCTTTCTCGGTCAACCCCAAGAGATAACCTGTGGCCTCCATGCTAGTGTGCCAGCACCTAATTTACTCAGTCACCATGGCCGTCTTCTAATTACTGCGACAGTGAAACCATGTGACAAACAAGCTTTATTAAGATAGACTTTTACGGCTTAGGTAGTTCCTTGGGATTAAAACTTTTGATACATATAGATACATTAGTTTCAATTTCATATCACACAGTTTGTATATATGGTAAGGTAGCTTTAATCGTAAATTACATATCATGTATTTATTTTTTCAGTTTCAATATTGGATGTATATGCAAATCACCCAGAAAAAGATCATGTAATAACAAAAGAAATTATAAAAGAAAAAAATGGAAGAAGAAATGGCTGGAAAAAATGATGATAGGGCAGCTTTTTCTTGGTGGGTAACTATTCAATTCTAATAGAAAAGATTGTTATGCTATTTTGAAATCTAAAATTCAGTTTAGTATAGTAAAACTGTACACGTCATGTATGAGCAGAGACAGAATCTTAGTTATATGTAGATATCACTGTCTCATCTGTGGCAAAGCAAACCAACACATGAATCAAAACAAATGTAATTAAATTAACATTTTTTTAATTAATCAAAACTGTCTAGTCAATTTAAGCAAACTAATACATTGCCAATTTTTTTTTCAGTTACCCACCTCGGAAGATCAAGTTGGAAAGGGCTATTGATATTGTGGAGACGTTTTCTCACAGATCTTGCTTATCAGACAAAGACTATGTAAGTACCATGCATATTTGCTTTTTAAATCAGGAACTGGTTCTATACACTTGGTGGGGGGGTTGGATGGACGTTAAACCCCATTTCTCACTCTCTCTCCTAAATATTGAGATTTTTGTTTACTTTTAAACTGCATATATTCAAGGTATCAGGAGCTTTTTAGGGCTCCCGTACAATTTTATAAACATAAAGGACTGTACCTTTTGAATATTAAGCCATCAAATTATTTTATAATTTTGAAAATGAAATGAAATGGGGTTTAACATCCTACTGTTTTGCTTATAAATTGGGCTAATGAAGACGGGCATACGCCATACAGTGTGCTATGAAGGGAATTTTGCCCGGGCAGCGGCGCTACAGCCTACTCTTATATCGAATTCCAATTGCCAAGGAATCTTTTACGTGCACGCCAATGTGTACACGGAACCTCGGTTTTTCGTCCCATCCGAATGAAGACGGGCATACGCCATACAGTGTGCTATGAAGGGAATTTTGCCCGGGCAGCGGCGCTACAGCCTACTCTTATATCGAATTCCAATTGCCAAGGAATCTTTTACGTGCACGCCAATGTGTACACGGGACCTCGGTTTTTCGTCCCATCCAAACGACTAGACAGCTGTCCTTGTCAGGTCCTCCGTCCTGTATCACTGACAAGGGGAAAACACACAAAATGTAAGTAACATATATATTTGTATTTTTAATCAGGAAGTACTTCTATACACCCATTTTCGTCTATACACCCTTTAAATGTATCATATATAGTGTATGTAAGTACGAGTGGTAGCTCTGCAACAAAGTAACCAAAACAATTACAATACACGTATTGAATGGTTTATCTAACCGCATGTATTTTACACTAAAATAAAATAATTTCTACCTGTGCTCGCGACTCTATCACAACAGTAAAGACACCGGCAGGTAAAAATTCAAACCCACTTATTAAGAGTACAAGGGGTATTATGTCAGCTTTGTATATGTACACAAAAGAACTGTTGCACACAGAAGTAAACAGGGGCGGATCCGGGGGGGGGGGGGGGGTCAGCTAGATACATTTTTTTTTGTAAATGAACATTTTTTATGAGAAAAGTTTCTCGGCCGTGTGCTTTATCCTTTATCGTCAGATGTGGGACAGGAAGGGCACTCAAAGCACCAGATAATGATATAGACATTATGTGATATCATAATTAATGCTTTGCATCCTTGAAATTAAATCACTATGTCATAGTATTAATTCATAATAAAAATTGACGTCAAATGAGGTGTTGAATTTTTCTGTTTAAAAAGCTCAATGTGTATGTATATACGCCAAAATGACGATAGACATGCGGGAGGGGTGGGGAGATACATTGTCACCAATCTGGTTAAAACACAGATCCTATTTCGTTTCGTTTTTATAGTTCAAAATTTCGTTTTACTTGTCTTTACTACACTTAGATCTGGAAGACTTGTTATTTAACGCGTATTCTGCTTGAAATGAGGGGTCAGTCAATCAAATGGTCTGTCGAATCGAGTGTTTGACATTTTTTGCCCGCAACTGTGGGTAATCCACTAGTAACATCAATGCTGATTGGTTAATCAAATGTCTGACGTCATAGGTCAAAAGTCGGTCTTTTGACCCCTGACGTGACCTATCGCTATAACTTGTCAGATCTTCATGTAGTGTAGGCCATCGAAAGTATACAAAAAATGAAATGAAATATAGATCTGTATTTTAATCAGATTGTATTGCCACAGGAACCTGGCAAACCCCCTCCTGCAAAATTTCCTGGATCCGCCCCTGGTAAAATCTAACGTGTGAGCCGTAGAACGAACCCCCCCCCCCCCCCCCAAAAAAAACGCGCCATTGTTCATATGAGCAAGTTACTTATCTGTGGTTATTAAAAACGTATCTATGTGTTTGAAATCACCGCCGGTTAAACATTTATTAACATGAAAAGACAATAATCAACTCTTAGTGTCATCTTATGTGTCCGATTTTCATTGGATTTGAAGCTAATCTGCTGTAGCACGCCCATTGATGATTAACCCGAAAGTGAAGAAATGTGGCTTAAAATTTCAGAATATCGCCTTTACAGTCTCTAGTTTTGAACTATTATAGTGCGAACTGCCAGCTCTAGAGAGAGAGAGATGGTGTTTAACGTCCACTTTAACATAATGCGGAAAGAAGGTGGGGTGGATGGCCGAATGGTGAGCACGTGGGAAGAAACCGTAGGACCCGGAGAAAATCCACGAGATTGGACAGGCGACCCTACTCCTTGTCACTTACAACCGGTGAATCGAAACCCCGCGAGTTGACTCAATGACAGACCGTATGATACAGCGCGCACGTGCTAACCATTCGCCCCCACCCCTATTTAAAAAGAACAGTGAACGTGCTTTCTACTGATATGTAGCATGATATCTGGAATTTCGTATTGACACCCGTAATTAGACATTGAATACCCCCCCCCCAACACACACACACACACACCTAATTACTTAAAGCGATAATTTCATATTTTCTAAGAAAGTCAAAACATAATTATTTCTATGTCTTCTGCTCAATAGGTTGTCAACTCACTATTATACGATCATAGGTATTATTCTCACACTTAAAAATCATTCACCCCGGAAATAATAACACAATTACCTCCATTGTTTTTCTATTCCCCCCATGGAATAGCGATTCACTATAACCGTGAAGATGATAGTGATTAGAGAGAGTATATGACCACAGATCAGGAGTGAACGAATGATGATATAATGGAATAGGCGCGAAATAGTTTCGGACAGCTACCTATATTTTATTTACGTAAGGGGGGGGGGGGTCTCTGCCGCGCCCCTAATTCCGCGCTTGTCATGAACTTTTGTTAACATATAATCTCTTCGTCAGGTCTGTTCTTTTTTAATATATTTTATCACTGATGACCATCTTGTTTATTTGTTTGTTCAGAGAAATTCCTACAGTATCTAGCCACGTTTCACAAGATAAATAACACCGCACTCTTGATAGCCTGGTCTGACAAGATCCTAATGTGAAATGAGGCTTAACGCCCTACTGTGCTGCCCCGACTGGGCTAATGAAGACGGACATACGCCATATATTGTGCTATTAGGAAAATTGTGCCCGGACGGCGGTACTATGGTCTACTTTTATATCGAACTCCAGCTGCCAAGGGATCTTTTAAGTGCCCTCTAAAGTCCGGGTAAATTCTCCTCGCGCTTATGCTCGTATTCAGTAGCCCGGAGAAGAAAAGCAGGATGTTAAAACCCCATTTCATTTCCTTTCATTTCGTTTCCTGTAAATTGGTTACATACATGATAATAGAAGCATAAAAATAGTATGCTACATGATAAACGTATTTGAAACTGAAACTTAATATAAGGAAATATTTTGTTGGAAGAGTCACGTGCACCTTTTGATGTGTTGGGTTTCACATTACAATAATGTGCACTGTAGTGAGTTTCAAACAAATGACATAATACTGGTATGCAGCCCAACCTGTCCAGGCGACATCGCTGTCCAGAGTGCCGGAGATCAGTCTTGTAGCAATTTACACAAAATAATGGGAAATAAAATGAAATGAAATGGGGTTTAACGTCCTACTGTTCTGCTCATATGCTGGGCTAATGAAGACGGGCAGTGTGCTATGAGGGAAATTTTGCCCGGGCAGCGGCACTATCCCCTACTGTTATATCGAATTCCAACTGCCAAGGGATCTTTTACGTGCATTCCAATGTATACACGAGACCTCGGTTTTTCAGTTCCTCCGAAGGACTAGACAGCTGGCCTTGTCAGGCCCTCCGTCCTGCATCACTGACAAGGGGGGGGGGAACCACGCCGGAAAATCTGGATGAACTTTCTCGGCCAATGCAGGGATCGAACACCCGACCTCCAGGCTAGCATCACTGACAAGGGAGAACCACGCCGGAAAATATGGATGAACTTCCTCGGCCAATGCAGGGATCGAACACCCGACCACCAGGCTAGCGAGACGGAAAATCTGGATGAACTTTCTCGGCCAATGCAAGGATCGAACACCCGACCTCCAGGCTAGCATCACTGACAAGGGAGAACCACGCCGGAAAATCTCGGTGAACTTTCTCGGCCAATGCATGCAGGGATCGAACACCCGACCACCAGGCTAGCGAGCCAGCGTCTTACCCACTTAGCCACGTGATCCCCAAAATAATGGGAAATGCGATGACAATGGCAGAAGAAACAATGAAGAAAAGTTACGGGGAGATTAAAACATGATATACAAGTAATCTGTTGTATCGCATCATCTACGACAAAATAACACACATGTATCAAATGTGGGGTTTAACGCCCGCTCGACACAAACTAGGTCATTTCGGGACCCCGTCTTCATTAGCCCAATCGGAGCAGAACAGTATTACGTTAAACCCATTTCATTTCATTTCGGGACTAACATATGGTCCAATTTTATTTCAATAATTCGCTTGCTCGTGGGGCTCTTTGGCAGTGGGAGGAAACCGGAGGATCCGGAGAAATCCTAGAGGTTGGACAGGCTACCTTACTCCTTGTCACGTACAATGACAGACCTTATAATGCAGCGCGCACACGCTAACCATTCGGCCACCCAAAACCCCCTGATTCATTGGAGACTGAAACAGGTGCGCGTGTTAGATAGGTGAATACACGTCGTATCCTTCTGACGATCCACAGCTAATGCCAATTGTAGGCCGGTTAGGGAGGTTCTGGAATTCCCAGAGTCAACAATTTCCGCTTTTTGGGGAATAGTAAATTGGATCCAAGTTCAGTCTTCTAAAAAGGGTTAGGGTTAATATTCCCCAAAATACTCATTTCTATGAAGCCGTCATTGTGGACTCCAGAAATTCCCGTATCTCCCCATCCGGCTTACAATTGGCATCTCTCAAAATTCAATACTAAGAGGCACAGTGACAGCTTGCGTTTCTACACGTCACGATTCTTTGTAGTACACACAAATCCATAACTTGATCTTGACAACACATATACTTATATACTATAGGGTATACTTATGTTGATGCGCATAAACTTAAGTCATTATGTGTCATTTGTGGGCGAATTACAATAAATTACCCCCCCACCCCCACTAGCCAAAAGACATTACAGTAGCTAAGTCTCTAACTCAGTATCGTCTAAAGTCTTTGACATTGAAAACACAAATTATTTGTCAATTTAAATCAACATTGATGCTGTGATCTTACGGGGGAAAGATGGGCTTCTGATGTCAAATATTTAAGACAAAATAAACATTTCACAATTGGTACACGAATCGTGTACCATAATGCGTTTCAGCGTCATTTGTAACAAGGGACTCGAAGAACGAGGCTAGGCATATTCCACAAGTCATGTCAATTGGTAACGTCATATTCTTATCTGGGGAGCATGCGCAATAAATACTATCGGTGTAGACTGGAATAACAAGACCCTGTTGTTGACCATAACCGGGGGGTCATTTTTTTTTACCAGACACAACATCATAGTTAGACAACTCAGCACGTTGATGTGGACGTTATAGACAAATGCACCACTTTTCCCCCAGACGCTACCCATTGCCTTATTAGCTCTCCGTGTTTGATAGACACCACTTTCTCCAAATATAGTATGGCGGACATCTTCAAGATTACCATATCAAAGATGTTAGTACATGCATTATTTTACAGTGAACTTTTAGTGGTTAAACTGTTCGATAAAAAGGGTGACTGATTGCTTTTATACATAGAAAATTTAATCGTAATACCTAGCAAATACGGTTGAAATTGTCAATTGATAAAATAATGAATTGGGCGAGGGCCAACTACTTTTAGTTTATATCCTTTGTGCCGTTTATTATACATTATATTCCCTTTGTGTTAATAATTTGTAAAAGACTTTTTTGGAATAAAATAACATAAAGCATTGGACCCAATGTAAGTTGTAAGCAAGCATTATGTAAGAGCTAAAATAACACAAGGCATATTTATAATTAAACTGATCCTAAAATTTCAACAATGGCTTTTGAAGAAAACCGGTTTAGGTCGGTATGTTTTAAGTTCGACTTATAACGAACCCCGACTGTGGCCTTGATATATTTCCAAGTCAACTGGGAGACATAATATATACTATAACGTATTCAATAAACCCAAGTAGACTAGTTCATTATAAGTAAAACAAAAACAAATTCCGCAGTAAGAAAATTAAAAATATAGATATACGTGACACATACAACATACAACGTCTTCAAACAGCTTATCGTGTTCAAGGGTTAACTCCGGCAGGAACGCAAGTACGAGAAAAGATGAATATTTAAAGGATAGCTCTTCTCATTACTATAATACTTTACGCCAGATTTGAAACCAATCCATTAAACATACATTATGCAAGAGCTAAATCTGATTATTGCAAGTCTTTATTTAGGCTTCAGATGTCATAGAAATTATAAATTAGATCTTTATTTACACAACAAGCACAAAATCAACTCTGTAGACCTACGGATGGCTTGGATTCGGCTTGGATTTAAACAAGATTTCGTTGATTGATTAAATTTTTAAATGGCGTCGTAAGCGGAGATTATTAGTTACGTTGACGTCATCCTCCCGGAAATAATTTTAGATCGAGGCTAAATGATAGATTGTACGAAACGAGGCCGCTGTTGACCGAGGTCGCATGTCAGTCAATTTGATTGAAAGTTCGATATATACGGCCTTGATATTATGTTTAGTTGTGGTTAAAATGAGAGTTTGAATGTCGGTATTCTACGCTCTTTTGTCACTTGCGTTTACAGAAAAATTATAGAAATTGATAAACATCGCAGCTAACATCACCCCAGTTGAATTGCAGCTCCATTGGATCACTGTTCGGGAGTTACGTAGACCTATCAGTTACAGTACAAGAGTACACGCAGGCTAACAAGAAGTCGGCTATAATTATGCCTCATTGATTTGGTCCATTCATTTCAAACTTTCGCTTCTTATCTATATATTAAAAGTCTTATTTTTAATTTGTAGTAAAAATAAATGTGATACGAATTGAATTGCAAACCCGTCTCAAACCACAGCCATTGAAAACGTTAATTGATAATCGAGATTATGTAGGTGGAGTTAACGCCTGTCAATCAAACGATCTTCCATTCTCGGAGACGGTGAAGAGAGATTTGACTACTATTTCTACTCAAAAATTACAATAGTGATAACTTTGTTCAGAATAAAGTAATTTGACTGAAATTTTCAATATATTCTTCTTTCATCATCTATTTTTGAACTGTTATAGCAAGAATGGCCAACTCTCTATAAACATCTCCCATAATGTATCTTTAAAGAAGGGTATTAGGAATAGGGGGTGTAACTCAGGAATGAACGGACGGTTGTTGAATGCTGAATATGGTTTGTCCTTTTCTTGATATCAAATTTCTAAATTTCTGTTAAAAATCGTAGCAGCTATCGCATTTACAAAATATTCAGAAAAATATGTTAACTCCAGACCAGATGCTTCACACCAAATTTGAAACAACAAATAACTTAAAACAGTAGCCACTATCGTATTCACAAGGTGTTCGGCAAACGGGGTGGGGGTGGGGGAAACCATAAAGTATGGTTATGCAACGTTGAATGTGGATAAGGTTCACACCAAATTTGAAAACTACCAGTTCAAATATATATGATTATTAGTAGTATTATCATTACACATTTCTTGTTGCAATTTATCCCAGTGGGTGCTGACGTGCTATAAAACCACATTTCATTTCATTTCATTTCTTATTAGACATTTCTATAAATGAGTTGATGTGCGCTTTAGAAAGATATATTATTATAAACTCTATAATGTGTCGACAGCGCGTGCATTATTTACGTGGACGTTATAACTAACGTAAACTGACCCAGGATGAATGGCGGGTTTTACTCATTTTGCGCCTTCGCATACTATTTTATGTATCCGTTGGCACTAAACAGGAAATACTTTTTTCAAGACATACCTCAAGCAGCTCTACTTATTTTTCTATTACTTCAAAAATCTTTTAGAATTTAATTTGTAGAAGAAAAAAAAATAATATTGTGAGCTAATTAACTCGCACCGAGAGAGAGAGGGATTGAGAGAGAGGGGGGGGGGGGGGCGTCCACTCGACACAAACCAGGTCACTTCGGGACTAACATCTGGCTCATTTTTTTTTTTAATAATTAACTTTAGCAGTGGGAGGAAACCGGAGCACCCGGAGATAACACACCAGGTTGGACAGGCGACCCTATTCCTTGTCACGTACAACAGGGGAATCGAATGACTGGCCTTATGTTAACAATCCGGCCATCCAACACTCCATCTAACAATGAAGAAGTACTTTCTGTTGTCTCTTCCTTAATCCAAAATGTCTTGAATGAAGAGCACAATGCCACAACCATACATAATAATTACATCCAGGAACTGGCACCAAGCGATACTCGTCTTCTTGTTCTTGGAGTTGACTCTCTTCGATAAAAGCGAAGGCTATGTCAGTTCAAACAGGATCGACACGAAACCATTTTCAGGCACGCTTGTCGCTTCGACACTTGCGCTGCTTCGAATCAAAGTTGGTGACAATGACGACAAGCTGGGCGTATGGTTTATAATATACTGTACCTGTTATTGTGTAATTTCTTAAACGTTAACTTTTCCAATTACATCTATATTTGTTCAAATTGTAATAGCATAAGATTAAGATATGATGTCTACTATTCACTTTGAAATTACAAAGTCTGCAACAGTCTGTTTACATAAAACAAATGACCAATATTTAATCATTGATTATAGTTTATTTATTAAAGGCCATTGTACACTAGTATAATAATGTACATATATCAACAGCATTAGACACCGACTCTGTACAATATTACATTTACGTATATATACAAGTTCATGCATGCTGTATTTTGAATATAAATTCGTTTATCTTCGGGTACCATATCATTGACTTATTCCGTTAAGTGCAAACTTTATTTCATTTTTAATTATCACTTTTAAGTACTCTAGACGAAATTACTGAGACAAATAAGGATAAGAGAGCGAGAAAGCGAGATTCAAATATTATACGCAAAAAACAATTGTTATAATACATGAAATAAATCAAATTTGTAAAAATGGAAATACAGAACATTTCATTCACAACTTTTCATTATCAAGATTATTAAACTAGTGCTCACTATAATCTAATTCATATTCTAAAGACTGTGTGGCCTATAGCAATGGCTATTTAAATATTTAGAGGCGTTATATTTTCATAGCTTCTAGCTATCTATTTAATTGCTTTTGACAGTTCAGTCAGAACTTTTATTGTGTCTTCTATTTCATTCGCCTTTTGTAAGAATTGTATAGCCAATTCATTCTGTTTTCCTTTGTACATATCTACTGAAGTAGATATAATCGTGTATATATCAAAGGGCATTGATATGGCTATTGCCATTTTTTTAGCGGCTTGCGCAAACATTTTAGGGGCTACGGAAACCTCGACAATTGCATCACGAAAAAAGAACGATATATAAATTTGTTTAACCACCCATTCTGCACTTTGATTATCTAAACTCCCAACATCATTCGCCATTTCCATGAAGTCAAACAGTCTGGTCATCAACTGTTCGTCATTCTTCAGAATAGTGTTCATTTTCGTGCGTGTCTTTTGAGTAATAAAGTATTTACAAATGGAGGCTCCAATACTAGTCATAGTGCCCATAGAACCAAGGGTGCTCCTAACATTCCTGCAACCCACATGGCACCCCCCACGACACCAGCCATACTACCAGTTAGTTTACTGATCTTTACATCTTTATCCATTTTGTTCATGGACATGGCTTCTCCTCGAAGCAATTGCACCAAATTTTGTCTGTTCTCTATTAGTTCCGTTAGCAATGATAACCCCATCTTCATAGCAGACGCCAAGCTGAAAATAAGAAGATATAAATAGAGACCCGATAAAGGTTGGCGAGGATCGATAAATCACAGCAAAAACGTTTTTATTATCGACTCCTTAGTTGCATGTACAGTAGAATCTGTATGAGCAGCCACTCATATTCATTGATATCTCCTTGTAAGCGGTCACGATAAATTACCCCCGTAAAAATTCTGTTGTTTCATCTCTTTATTCAACGGTCACTCCTCTAACGCGGCCAGCGGTCACTATTTTACTAATAAATTCAACAAAACATCGCCCATTCAACGGCCATTGTTGAATGATACCATCTTGTCGTTCTTTGTAACACCCTCACTAATCCCGTGAGTAGTAGTTAATTAACTGTACCCCCTCTGATCAGTTAAAACGAAATGTAGTAAAAATAACAACCAACCCGGGGTTATCTGTTTATTAATCTTTGTTTTATTAAACGACTAACCTGATCATTGTTTTCACGCGTAACGGCACATTATTTTATACTGATTGAATAAAATAAAAGCAAAAACGTTTTTATGATCGACTCCTTAGTTGCGTGTACATGTATAGTATTTGTAACATCTATAATTTATAAACAAACAACACTTCGATTATATTTGCCATGAGTGATATTAATTGTATTGAAATCAACATTATTATGAATAAATAATACAATTAGTTACCTCATCACATCACTCGCCATATTCTCCAGTCCAATTTGTATCCCTGTACAAGGCTATTATTATATTGTCTGTAAAGAATGTTAATAGCTAAATGACAAATTCCCAAACTTTATTTCTATACGATTTACGAGTAAATAGCCCCTTTGTGAAAACAAATATCACCGTTTCCAATACAAGCCGATATTTTTGCTCAATCCCAGGTGGAGAATATTTAAAGGTGCTAAATCTCTAACTCAATATTTTCCATTAGAATTAGAATTCAATATTGTCCATTTCAATCAAAATTTATGTTGTTATCTTGCCGCGAAAATATTGGATCCAATTTTAGAAAAAACATATCCTACTAGACACCGATGAAGTAATTAGTAATGTCCATAAAAAAATTGAACATAGATCAATTTACATACATTCATATTACATTGATATATGCTTTACACCCATTTTCGTCTATACACCCTTTAAATGTATCATATATAGTGTATGTAAGTACGAGTGGTAGCTCTGCAACAAAGTAACCAAAACAATTACAATACACGTATTGAATGGTTTATCTAACCGCATGTATTTTACACTAAAATAAAATAATTTCTACCTGTACTTCTTGTTCTTGTAATAGCGCCCTCGACTCTATCACAACAGTAAAGACACCGGCAGGTAAAAATTCAAACCCACTTATTAAAAGTACAAGGGGTATTATGTCAGCTTTGTATATGTGCACAAAAGAACTGTTGCACACAGAAGTAAACAGGGGCGGATCCGGGGGGGGGGGGGGAATCAGCTAGATAATTTTTTTTTGTAAATCAACACTTTTTATGAGAAAAGTTTCTCGGCCGTGTGCTTTATCCTTTATCGTCAGATGTGGGACAGGAAGGGCACTCAAAGCACCAGATAATGATATAGACATTATGTGATATCATAATTAATGTTTTGCATCCTTGAAATTAAATCACTATGTCATAGTATTAATTCATAATAAAAATTGACGTCAATTGAGGTGTGGAATTTTTCTGTTTAAAAAGCTCAATGTGTATGTATATACGCCAAAATGACGATAGACATGCGGGAGGGGTGGGGGAGATACATTGTCACCAATCTGGTTAAAACACAGATCCTATTTCGTTTCGTTTTTATAGTTCAAAATTTCGTTTTACTTGTCTTTACTACACTTGGATCTGGAAGACTTGTTATTTAACGCGTATTCTGCTTGAAATGAGGGGTCAGCCAATCAAATGGTCTGTCGAATCGAGTGTTTGACATTTTTTGCCCGCAACTGTGGGTAATCCACTAGTAACATCAATGCTGATTGGTTAATCAAATGTCTGACGTCATAGGTCAAAAGTCGGTCTTTTGACCCCTGACGTGACCTATCGCTATAACTTGTCAGATCTTCATGTAGTGTAGGCCATCGAAAGTATACAAAAAATGAAATGAAATATAGATCTGTATTTTAATCAGATTGTATTGCCACAGGAACCTGGCAAACCCCCTCCTGCAAAATTTCCTGGATCCGCCCCTGGTAAAATCTAACGTGTGAGCCGTGAGAGAGAGAGATGGGGTTTAACGTCCACTCGACACAAACAAGGTTATTTCGGAACTACATTTGATTTAATTTTATTTCATTAAATCGCTTGCGCGTAGGTGTCTTTAGCAGTGGGAGGAAACCGGAGGACCCGGAGAAAACCTACGAGGTTGGACAGGCGACCCTACACCTTGTCACGTATAACCGGGGACTCGAAACCACGGCAGTTGACTGAGTGACAGACCTTATGATACAGCGCGCACATGCTAACCATTTGGCAGAGAGAGAGAGAGAGAGAGAGAGGGGGGGGGGGGAGCTAAACTTCTACTCAACACAAACTAGGTCATTGTTTGTTTATTTATGAAATGTAAATACATATGTATCTATATCTGACAGGGAGAAGGGTTTAATATAAACTATATCAGTTAACTAATCCCTATTCTGATACAAATCTTTATAAAAATATTGTTTAGAAAAAAAACACTAGGTCATTTCGGGACTATCATACTGTACAATTGTATCTTATTAATCGCTTGAATAGGGGTCTGTAGCAATGGGAGTCATTAGGTTAGGCAAACGATTTTACGCCTTGTCGGGTTTGAGAGTGCATGTCTAAATATAGCGGGCCTTGTCACCCCACACCTCGTTAAGTGTTAAAATATTTAAACAAAAATGTCAGTATTTATTTCGAGGGTATTAATTGACAAAGGGTTGGAACGTGACATCTTAATTCGTCTGGCTGTCAGCCCAGTCGGATCCAGGGGCCTGTTTCACGAAATTTTAACTATGATAAAATCCAAATTTTAGTAATTTGATTGGATAATAGTAGATTGATTTTAGTGCTAAGCCAATCAAAATTGAAATATCTACTAAAATTTGGATTTTATCTTTAGTTAAAATTTCGTGAAACAGGGCCCAGGCCCACTTATAACCCTTCAACTGGCTCGTCATACGTTTAATAACTATGTGCGACCAATCTAAAATGATATAGTAGAATGCTAGCCCACTAGTTTAGGCTGGTGCCACAATAGTATAGCTAATAGTAAGTGCAGGGGGACTTCACCACAATGATGTAGAAATGAAATGGGGTTTAACGCCCTATTTAAAACCAATTGCTTCAATGAATACGAGCACACGCTATGCAGCGTGCTGTAAGGGACATTGTATCCGGACAACGGTGCTACGGTATACTCCTATTTCGAATTATAACTGTCAAGTAACCATGGAAACTCATAATGTATACAACGGCTGAAAACAAGCATAAGTTACAAATTATAAAATAAATTACATTTCACGCAAATAGAACAAGAATTAGTAAACGATAGGTGGTACGTGGGTGTTCCACGTAGTGGTGTTCTACGATGTGTTGTTTACACAAATTAACTAAAAATACTCGACGATAGATGGTGTTCCACGATATGTGGTGTTCCACGAACAATACAAGTGCGTGGTGTATGCATAAATATAAGTAAAAGTATTCAACGATAGAACGTGTTCTACGAATCGACATTTCAAATATTAAACATACATTATGCAAAAACTACATCTGCCTATTTCAAGTATTTTTTTAGACTTCAGATGTTATAGAAATTATTAATTAGACCTTTATTTACCTGAAATACTCAAAATCAACTCTGTAGACTCTCGGATGGCTTGGATACAGCCGATGAAAGGCCTACCAAGCGAGGGTACCATAGCCATTGAGAATGTTACTTGATAATCGAGCATATGTGTTTGGAGTTATCGTCTGTCTATCAAATGATCGACAATTCTCGTAGACGGTGCTGACACAGTTGTTGCTTATTTCTAGTCCAAACTTTCAATAGTGTTAACTCCGCTCAGAATAAAGTAATTGGACTAAAATTTTCAATATTTTCTTTTTTTATCATCTATTTTTGAATTATTATAGCAACAATGGCCAACTCTTTATTAAACTCTAAAGTAATGATTCTATAAGAATGGCGAAATCACTTTTCACAACGGCAGGTTCAGTTTCAAAATGCCACAGTGGGACCACGCCCCTTGTAACATAATGTCCAGTTAGGGGTTTACAAAAGCCAAGTTCCCAATTCCTCACTAAAAATATATTAGAAATATCAAAACAAATAAATTGAAACTAGAATCTTCATCGGACTGCAGTGTTTTTATTGGCTATTCAAAAACTGTAAGCAGAAACTGGTTAGCGCACGACAACCATCATAACAAATGTGTCCTATATACTAGACTTATAATATAACCCTTATTACATAGACAATATTACCGCGGTATATAGTATAGAAATGAAATAAAATGGGGTTTAACGTCCTACTGTTCTACCCCGACTGGGCTAACGAAGACGGCCATACGCTATACAGTGTGCTATGGGGGAAATTTTGCACAGGCAACGGCACTATGGCCTACTCTTATATCGAGTGATCTTTTACTTGCATGCCAATGTACACACTGGACCTCGTTTTTTCGTGCCATCCGAACGACTAGTAAGCTGTCCTTGAACTAACTCGGCCAATGCTGGGATCGAACACGCGACCTTCAGACTAGCGAACCAGCGTCTTACCCACTTAGCCACCGTGACTTCCGAATATAAAGTAGAATATAACCTGTGTAACATAGAAAATATTATCATGATGTATATACAGTATATAGTTATTACATAGTGAAATATATCATGCTATTCTCTGGTTGGCTGGTAAATACATGTATAATTAAACAGTTAACTTGACAGGGGAAATGCCAAAAGGACTATATCCGTCCTGGGAGTCACGCACAGTAATCTACCACGTAAGTTATAATATTTCAATTATTTTGAAAATGTATTAAAATAGGCAATAAATATACAAAAACTTAAATATACAAGTATACAATAACTTAAATATACAATAACCTTTTCTTTTTAGTGAAGCCTGTACCATAACAGGCCCGGGACTGTACAGTGCAGTGGACGCTTACGGCTGGCCCCCGGATCCATTCACTTGATTTGATATTTGTTTATTTGGTGCAATGTCTATTTTCTGTCTTGTCCGCAGGTTTATCTTGTAGATTTTTGTTTTGCGCGTAGTGCGGTCCTCCTGCACTAACTAGTAAAGTAGCTAAGTCTCTAACTTAGTATCATCCAAAGTCTTCCACATTGAAAACCCGAATTATTTGTCAATTTAAATCAATATTGGGTTTCTGATATCCAATATTTAAGACAAAATAAACATTTTACCATTGGTACACGAATCGTGTACCACAATGCGTTTCATTTTATTTGTAACAAGGGACTCGAAGAACAAGGCTAGACATATTCAACAAGTCATGTCATACGGTAACCTCATATTCTTATCTAGAGCATGCAGAATAACCAGACACAATAGGTTACCACTCGATTGAGACTTCTGCCGTATTTCGCCGAACATAACTGATTTGAAATTAGAGTAAAAACGGAAACGATTGAATGTAAATCAGTTTACAGAGAGAGAGAGAGAGAGAGAGAGAGAGAGAAATGGGGTTTAACGTCCACTCGACACGAACTAGGTCATTTCGGGACTAAATATGGTTCCATTTTATTTCAATAACTCGCTTGCGCGTTAGGGTCTTTAGCTATGGGAGGAAACCGGAGGACCCGGGGAAAATCCACTAGGTTGGACAGGCGACCCTACTCCTTGTCACGTACAATCGGGGAATCGAAACCACGCCAGTTGACTCAATGACAGACCTTATGATACAACGCGCACGTGCTAACCATTCGACCGATTTGTTTTACAGATTTACACAATGGAATTCACTCGGGTTTAACGTCTTGGCAACACAATATTAAGGTCTCTTTGAGATTAAAATATCATTATTTGCTCTCAATATTTACATGTGCATCATGAGTGATTTTCGGGCGTACCTAGTGATGGTGCTATGCGGTGCATACGTTAAAATCACAACATTGTGCTATGTGGTACATACGTTAAAACCACAGCATTGTGCTATGTGGTACATTCGTTAAAACCACAGCAGTGTGCTATGCGGTACATTCGTTAAAACCACAGCATTGTGCTATGTGGTACATTCATTAAAACCACAGCAGTGTGCTATGCGGTACATTCGTTAAAACCACAGCAGTATGTGCTATGCGGTTCATCCGTTAAAACCACAGCAGTGTGCTATGCGGTTCATTCGTTAAAACCACAGCAGTTGATATCTTTGTATATTAACTAGAAGGTCAAAAACCACTGCAGAGGA